GAAGACGGATGGGAGAGGTTAATGATTTGAAGCCTTCAAAATAGAAGGAACTCAGAGAGGCACAGTATCGTAGAGTTTAGTTACGACATCGCGTCCAGAAAGCCATAGTGGTGTCTTCCGTTCCCTTCTCTGTCTTGGCCTTGATTCCTTTTCTTGATCTGTTGAGCTCTTGTTTATTGAGACATCTACTTATTTACATAGAGAAACCTATTTGGCCACAGAAGATGGGAAGAGAAACAAACGCTATGAAATGGAAGTGCGCCCGAATTGGACCGGACCACCATTTGTCAGCTGTCGTGTCAGCTGACGTCAAAGTCCATTGCTTTGATTTCACTTTTTGGGAATTCTTTCTGCTGGACGGGCTAAAGTTCAATGGGAACGCCTGAAAGGGTTGGTCATGACTTTTCTGTCAAAAAGCTAGTTTTTTCAGCAAATAGCCCTCGCAAGGAACCGTCCTCTTAATGGAGTCAGCTACCAGCTCCATGAAGCTATACGCTGCTTTCACCGTTTGGTTTAGTGAGCTTAAGCCTTACGCGCTGAAAAAAGGTAGCAGCAGGGCTGAAGCTCTCTCGCCAATCAGGAATAATGCGTACAAATTTTCAAATTATGGATGTTTGGAAGTAGAGATCGCAGGTCATGACGAGGATATCCCTGAAGTTCAATTGTGTCTGTAGAAATGGAGGGGTTGATCGATAGAAGATGTTTCCAGAAGGATTGTTTTCGAGTGGTATTCTTCGCTGAGGATCAGTCTCCTTTCCTACCGAAGGGCTCCTCCAATTTTTGGCATCTCACGTCTCTGGTCCCAAATTTCGTTGCATATGAATTGAACAAGGGTCTGTTCTGCGACCTATCAGACTTCCAGATAAACTCACGTGGACATTGGGCTTACAAAAAAGTGGACTCCGGAAATTGCTTGTTCTCCAATTCCTGGGTCAATGGAGCAGAATTTACTTCCTCATCCTGGCCCACTCCAAACCCCTGTACTCCAAGTTGCCTTCAGATGGATTTAGATCAGCGTTGCGAGCTGATCTCAAACCTTCTAGAGGCAACATGGGCCGCCACTAATAAAAAAAACCTATTATGTATGTAAGAAAAAATAAAACGTCCTACTGGGCCGCTCAAAGGGTCTAATCTCCGCTTTGCATATGTCCTCAGATCACAGAATTAGACCTGCAAATATCCTCCCATTGAGCAAATCTCGCGCAGGCGGTACGTTGATTGAGTCGTATTTCAGATGTACGACGATATGCAGTTCGTGAAGAGGAGTAATGCGGAGTTGATAAATGGCCTTATCGGAATGGACCTCGGCAAACTGTCGGCAGTCGGCAAACGGTAAGTGCTGCTCATTGCCAGTTAGACAGACGGCTCTAATCGTTGCTCTGGTCAGATCAAACGCGGAGCTGATCAACGGGCTGCTCGGGATGAACCTGAACAAACTGAGCTCGGCTGGTCGACGATGAGCACTCCATGCATCACAACATCTACACCGCCACCTACCACCAACTACCACCGCAACACTCACAACGCTTCTTTGAAACACCACCACATCTCATCGTTCTTTGATTTCCATCTTATTTAGTCGAGATTTACGTACGTCTTGTGTGCTGTTTGTTAGCGTAAAGCATTCATCGTCTGTTATGGGTGTTATTCATCAATTTCGGTGATTTCAACTGAATTTGACGCGTTTCCCTCTATCTCCCTCGTTTCTTCAGTGAATCTCTCGCTTCGTTGCGCGCTTTGTTTCGCTCTTGATGTCTCGCCATTCTTAATGGAATATGTGAGATGAATGAAATCTAGATGGTTGAGTATCTTTGTGATCGCCCTTCAACACAAATGGCGAAGGGTAATAAAAGGATCCAGGCAAAGTTTGTAACGCTTGGGTATTTCCATGCGACGAACGAATTCGGTAATTGTGCCGCTCGCACCATTTTGCGTCAATTTGACTCTTTCATTGATTGCTCCACACGAAAGCGGTATACATTCCAATGAGTGCGCATTCGAATAGAAATTGTGCGCACGGCACATCTCCGAAGTGTTTGGCCACCACCGGCATTGCCAGTTTACCTTTTACTGTCGCTCTTCTTGTCCTAAACGTGTTTTCTTGCTGAGAAGCTCGGGTTCTGCCCGCCGCATTGGACCGTTGAGGACTCCACGTCTGAAACGTCTGAGCCCAAAACTTAGCCGTGCCACCTTCTTTAGCCTAACCAAGGATGACAAGCACAGCGATATTGTCAGCTGCTAAGCGAAACACCACGCGCTTCTCAGTAGATCGCTTTATAGTAAGGTCAACTGTCAAGTTGAGTTCGTTCCAAAATTTTATGGCCTTTTCTTCATAGGTGCCCTATTACAACCTCGCTAAACGGACCATAATATCGATAGTCTTGTTGGACTTCCAACCTGCTAACACTTGACCTAGCGTCGAGCGGAGCGGGGTGGGCAATGCCAGTTCTGGCATGCATAGCATCAGTTAACATAAACCTCAAATACAACTACGTCATCTAAAAACAAGTATGATTCCACGTTGAAAATCTCAGCGGGGGAATGCTCTGCGGTTCGGAATGGATAGTTGGGGTAGGAGATAAGCAAAAGGGCTCCAAGGCACGAGGCATGAATAGGACGATAAGATAGTTTTCGCTAGTGATTAGTCCTCATGTTTACACGGCTATTAGTACTATTCATGGGTGAAACACCTGAACACATGTCGCTTTATCCCGTTTAGGAGGAAAGCTTCCCTTAACCTGGGATTGGTTATTCACCTCACAGTCTACCTTTAACTAACTAACTAAGCAAACTCTACCCCACCTATTTCATTATTCTCCTCCACAGAATGTTTCTGAAGCTCTATAAAGAACCTTAAAGAATATTTGAAGGTTCTCTTAGTATTGCGCTGTCTCGGGGCATCATCAGGACCTAAATGTTGTATAACACA